GACGGTTCTGTCCCAATCCTCTCAACTCATCGCAAAACGTCTGCTAGGATCATCTTTAGAGTCCTTGTGCACTAACTGGCCGTCAGTGTGATCCTGGCCTGCACATTTTATTTGAACTTGGCTGAGTTTCGTTTTACATCTGACATCATTTTCCTAGGTACGAGGATTTCACAACTCATGTCTATGTAGGAAAAATTCCAGATGAGCATGCTAAGATGGCTAAAACATATAATCAAGGTTAAAAAAGTGATATTTAGTCTAGAAGTGTTGAATGAGAAACCAGGATGTGTGTGTGTGTGTGTGTGTGTGTGTGTGTGTGTGTGTGTGTGTTTAAAGGGTGCTTATTTTTTCCCAAAGACAAATCGGGAATCACAGCAGTAAAATATCTTAGGGGAAAACCTATGCTCCTGTGAGAAGTAACTGAATTCCTTGATGAAGAAATCTATTTGGCTGTTCTTGTGTTAACATGTTCATACTGGATTTGTTTGAAAGGATGTCCAATCTAGAAATAGTCACCTGGTAAATTATTCCCTTGAAATTACAGGTTGAGGAATTTGAAAAGGAAATTGCTGGGGCCCACGGAGGATGCTACAAACCTCTCATATATAAAGGGCAGCTTCAGCTTTGTGGCAACTTGATCGCCCTAAAATTAGAAAGGCCGCACCCTGACGCACACAGGATTTAGACTGYAGAGTCACTGAGTGAAAGCTGTGCTTCACAGGATGCACCCTGCCTCATCTCTAGATCTGTTCCTACCCAAAGTTTGGATGTTCAACTTGTGTTCTTAATGCTAGAGATCAATGAGCTTCTCCCAGGCTTCTGACTTTGTCAAACTCCTTTCATGACTTTTTTTTCTCTCTCCCCAAATTGGTTTGCTATCTCTGAGTGTCCATTCTGGCCTGTCTAGTTGTTTTTCCATCTCATCTATTTCATTTAGCTTTTCCCTCCCTGTCCACCCCCATAGTTATTACATRTGTTCTCTAAGGATAATTGCTCATTCTCTGACAGATGTTCATTGAATAAATATTCTTTTTTTCCCTCATACACCCACTTTTGAACCACCAAATTTTGTTGGCTGTACATTCAAACTTCCCTAGAAATGGCTATAACCTGGTTAATGTCACCATCTCTTGGCTGGGCCATGGCACTAGCTTTAAGATTGGTCTCCAGGCTTTGGGTATCATTTTTCCATCCCTCCTCTAACCTGGCAGATGCGATCTGGTCCCTTTCAGACCCTCCTTCAGAGTTGGCTCCTACTCTGTTCACAATTATCCAAACAGTTTTCAGTTCATTCAAAGAAAAGGACAAAGTTAGTGAAGGACTGTCTTTGTGCCTATCTGCCTCTGTCCTGCTTTGACCTCTTGGGCTTCATGCCTTGCTCTTCTTACCCACAGTCCCTGGACCCTCCTTGACCTCTTGCCTTTTTACAACACTCCAGATATATTCTGACTTCAGGGTCCTTGCCTATCCCTGTTTCTTCTGCTTGGATCATAGCTCCCCCACAGAATGCAGCCACCTCTTTTCTCACTGTGTCCTTGCTTGAGTACCATCTTCTCAGTGGGGCCTCCCAGGGCCCTTAGGGTTTCAGCCTACCCTATCTTTCTTGGTCCTTTCTGTTTACATTGCCTGATTCACTTTCTGGGTATAACTCATTACCATATAGCTTTATCATCTCTTTCTTCACTGGCGAGTAAATGCTCCATAAAGAGAGTTTTTTTTTTCTCCGTTTCTCTGATATTTAAGGAAGTATCTAATAAACTGTCACAGAGGAGAGAGACTTGCTAAAGGATTTAGAAAGCATAATGGAGAACACTAACCTCTCTATCGTCAGGCAAGATCCTCTAATAAGGTGTGGTGTAGGAGGTGACGCCTGAGCTTGGGAGATGCTGGTCTGAGGAAGGGAGGAGAAGAGGCCCTTGGGTCTTTCTTATAAAAAGGCCTGGGGACTCAGYAGCTGCTGCTGGTGCTACTCTCGTTTCTCTACCCCCCTCTTCACTTCCAGCAAGCCAATCTGGCTTCTCATGGTTAAGATGAGAACATCACAGAAGGGCTGCTACACCTTTGAGCAGAGAAGGCTGGGAATGCCTGGGAATTAACGAGTGCACCTGAGCCCTTAAATCAATGACCAATTGGTCTTAGGGGGGGATATATTTATTCTAGTTCTCTTGCTCCCTGGGCAAGCTACTTTTGAGGGACAATCTGTATATCAATTCTTTAGGACTAAGCTCTAGGTGCCCACTGCATTAGATTTACACATGCCTCCAGTCCTGGCTGTCTTCCCTCTCCTGTGCCACTCTACCTTGATAACAKGATTTCCTTTAAAATCCCACAAACTGCTGTTCCTTGAATCTTGGCTCTGGATTGGCCTCTGGAGGAAGTCAAATAAAGACATTGATTCCTACCCAGATTCTTGAGAATAATGACAGTGAACAATTAGAGAGATAATAAAGTAAACCAGATTGGTTGGGTCTAGAATCTAGAAAAAGATGATTTTAGTTTCATAGTGAAAGAATTTGAGTTGTAGGAATTCGAATTGTTTCTAAATACTTAATGAAACCTTTGAGTTTGGAGGTGAAGTAATCAAAAGGATAACTGAGTATGATCCATGTAATTGATCTAGCTGTTTCATGCAGTGGTACTGTGTTGGGGAAAGGGATAGTCTATAAGGTGGGCTGCCAGTTACAGAAGAACCTAAGAGGTACCCCTGTGATACATTTGAGAGTGCATCAGTTAGTGAGGTGACAGTTGTAATGGAAAGGGAGAAATAGAGATAAAATGTGAAGGGGAAAAATGACAGGATTTAGAGTCTAGCTGCATGAGTTGACAGATGTCTGGGGGTGGGGGGCAGAAAAAGACAAAAAAAATGTCGGAAGTCAGATGAGTGATAGAGTAGTATCATTAACAGAGATGAAGAATCCGGGAACCGGCTCTTGTTTGGTGAGTTAAATACACAGTGTGGTTCTGCCAATGGAAGATCCAAGTAGAAATGTTCCAGACAGCTGGATAGGCAATTTTATAAGAAGGCAGGAAGAATTTGGTTTCAGAATTTGGGCACTTTCAGAGGATCATTGAAGCATCTGGCTATTTCAAAAATCCCAAAGAAGAACTTGCTTTACACAAGCCTTGGAGGCTTGAGCTTGTGATTCTTAACAGAGAAAAAGGAAGGTCATAGTAACCTGCAATGACAGGCACACATTACAGTTAGAACATGTGCACCTGTGCATGGGGAAAGAGGAGGTGTGGGAGGGCAGAATTCCAGATTCTAGCCATGCATGTTCTCCAAGATACTGGAGAACTCAGGAATCAAAAGTGAAGTTCAAGGATTTCAGCAGAGACAGATGTAGAATTATGGAGATTTGGCCAAATCTCCAGCCATTCCTAGTAAGATATTGGGATTCTGAGGATAGTTTTCTCAGCTGCCCTTGCTACCCGGTGAAGGATATTATTAAGGAATCCGTTCTCCACATTTTCTTCTTCAGACTAAATAAACCTTATTACATTTCTGTTACAGGTAATAATTTCCATTTCTTATAATTATTTCTACTCTTCTCTGAACTTTCTCCAGTGTTCCTTGTCCTTTAAAAATCTAAAATCAGAACTTCAAAACACAGTAATAACTGGCTCAGTTCTGGGCACAGGAAATGATTCTTCTTCTAAAATGTCACTCCTAGGCAAGGTATCTTAACAGGTTTTACTTTCTGATATTTTTCTTTTTTCTTCCCCTCTTCCTCACCTTCCCTTCCTCTCCAGCCTCCGCCCCCCCCCCCCATCCCGCACATGGGATTGAACACTGGGCCTCCTGTTTGCCTAGMCTGTGCTCAACTGCTGAGCTACAACTCCACACCTCTACTTGATTTTAAATCTGTCATTTGATGTTTATCTTATCATAATATTATGTTGATTTCAGACAAAATGTGATCATAATGGAATATATCTTTTAAAGTAATTTTTTTTGTTTTAATCTCAAAAGCTCTGAGTTAGAATGGGTTTTGGTTTCAGTCTAGTTTTCCAAGTTTCGGAAAGATYTAGGTGGAAGATTCTAGTCTGTAATGACTCTGATTCTCTTTTCTCCCATGGCAGGGAACGTATGAAGCAAAGTTATCAAACTTTTGCTGTCATCTGTACATTGGCCCCTGCTCACCTCAATAGTTTAAACCCTGGGCTAGCTAAAATGTGATAGAGGAGAGAAAAGAAGGAACACAGTTAGACATTTGTCAAAACTGGAAGCAATGTGGGAGCGCCCAGGAGCGCGGAGCCTGAGCTGGACGAGGTCTTTGGGAGTATTTTTCCATGTGGACCGGAGGGAGATCTTGTAGGAAACAGCCGGGAGCTTACACACGCTGGGCTCTGATTCCACGGGATTTACAAGCCTCGTTGCTGGAAAGAGTCTACAGCTCTCATGGCCCTAGCGGTGCACGATGTTCACTGGACAATAAAGTTTCTGTTTAACAGAGTAAAATAAAAACCCTGTCTTCCCCTTACAGGGTGGTGAAGCAGGCCCTCTGAATTAAAGGGTCGGGRGACCCTTTCCGTGGTTTAGGGCTTGGCAAGACCCGGTTCAGCCAAGATCGCAGCGGATCTGSTGTCACCCCGACTGCGGGGGAGCCTCCAGGTCCGAGAAGAGCAAACCCTCAGCCTCTGGGGCTGCGGTGGAAGGTTCTGGCGCGCAGGCAGCCGAGAGCATGGGAGAGGGGGGCGCTGCCCGCCAGCCCGGCTCCGGGGGACTCCTCCCCCTCTCCCAGCCCACTCGCAAACCAAAGTACAAGGTCCTCTGTTCCAGCCAGCAGCGCTGCGTGAGCCTCTACACGTAGCCGCAGACAGCGCTTTAAATAGGGTCCGACTTGAGCAAGCAATCCCAGACGTGGAGCCCGGGGGGCCAGCACAGGCGACCGCAGCGGCGGCGGGTCAGCGGGCGGCCAATAGCCAGGGCGCGGCCCGCCCTGTCACCTCCCCCTCGGGGAGTCTATAAGGTCCGGGCGCCCGCGGCTGCGCGCCTCCGCCTGGCCCGGCCCTGTCTGCTTTCTCCGTGCTGGGGCTGCAGCCACCGGCGGCTCAACTTGTGGGATCGCTGGGGTCCGCAATCGCCAGCCTCGGGCTGACCAGAGGGTCGCTGCGTTCTCGCGAGAAGTGCGCCGCTGCTGGGCAGAGGGGGTGCGGGAGCCGGCGCGGGCTCTTCAGGGGCGGAAGATGGGGAGGTGCACCGTGAAGTCCCAGCTGCTGCTGCTGCTAGCGCTCGTCCTCCACCCCTGGAATCCTTGTCTTGGTGCCAACTCGGAGAAGCCCTCTAGTGTCCGGGCAGGTGAGCATCCCCGCAGTCCGCCGCTGCCCCGAGAGGCTGGGTGGGATGGACGGTCCATTCATCCTCCCGCCCTTTTCATAAGGTTGCCAGGTGAGTAGGGGAGGGCCTATCTCTCCTCCTCAGGACCGCCAAGGTGAGTGGGCTAGACTGACCCTCCGCCCCAGGACAGCTGAAGTCATCCCCAGAACTGCACCCGGGAGGCGCTGAAACCCGTGCAAGTGAGGGAACACTTACCCTCGTCTTCTCTGGGAGTTTCTCCGTAAACTGAGYGCGCCCAGATTTTGCTTCGGAATTAAGTTGGGGTTTCCTTTTGGTCTTAGGAATCCCTGGACACCAACACCTTTCCTGCTGCTGCTCTCCTCTCTGCTGCTTGGCATGCTTTATCTGGACCAGGCARTACTCCCTTTGTGACCTAAACACGGGACTCAGTGTAGTTTCTGATTGATGGTGACACATTCCTTCCAGTGCCCTAGGAAGCTGCTGGTAACACCTACCTTTTGCCAAAATCAATGCTCAAAAACCTTGGTTGTTTTCTGAAAGGCTTCCCGGGCCACCCAGCACGTCCAGGAGGCAGCTTTCCTCCTTTGGGATTTGGAGAGGAGACTTGTGGACATAGCTTCTCCTCTTTGCCACCCTTATCCTCAGCCCTGGCTGTTACTTGTGTTCAGAAGCTGAAACGGCAGCGAATAGTGCAGTTATGTTCATGTAAAACAAAACATTTTACTTTTAGCCAAGAGAGACTCTGCACATGCTTGTCTAAACACTCTTCTGCTGCATTTGCTGCAAAGGAGAAATCCTTGGAGTTTTTCACTTTTGTACCTTTTTGCTCAACTCTCTGAAACTGGATATTGCATTTAAATGACCTTCTGATATGCCTTTTTTTTTGGGGGGGGGAGGTGGGGGCGGATCATTTTGGCATGTTTTTACCCACTTAAGTTAATTGGGTGCTTTTTTATTTTTTTGGCATGAGTTTTCTATACGCCTAAGGACAGACATTTTAACTTCAGGGTTGTTTAGAAAGTGACATTTGGTGTAGAGACCAGGCAATCCAAAGAGCAGTGGTTTTGTTTTAATCTTCAGGTGTTTGGGAAAACTCAAGTAGTCTAATCTGCCTATCTTTCTACATTCCCATGAAACAGTACTTGCTTTGTTAGCATCAGAAACTGGGAATTCAGGTGGATTTCTGTCAGTTACAGAATGCTTTCCTTTCTGTAAGGAATGCTGATGGTTTAGAAATGGGTATTTGAACATGTATGATTTCTCTAAATTTGAACTAAATTTTGTCATAATTTAAAAAATAATTCACCTAGTGTAACATCTAGAAAACAGACAATGGTACTTTTAGCAAACAGAAATGGAGGCAAAACATAAAAATTAAAAAAGTTAAAAAAACTTTCCCAGAAACGATTTTTGTTGTTGTTGAAACACCCAAGGAAACTTTTATAGGGAGATAAAATAACCACTGAGGGCTTTATTATTTTTAGAGGGTCTCTTTCAGCCCTTGTATTATTTTATTCCACCTCATTACCAACCTTTCCTTTTGTAGTTGCCTTTAAAGTCAAAATTGGCTTCTTCCCCATTCTGGCTTTTAACTTTCATGAAATTGGACACTCAACTTTTAAAGTTTTGTAACATCAGAGAAAGGGAATTTCAGATATGTTTCTCTCAGCAAAAGACTAAATACAATCTGAGGAATGGTTACTTAGTAGCTGGGCACAGGGAGTTCAGTTAGGAATTAATTTGTGGGAAAATGTTAATTTATGATAGATGGAGCCAGCAGTAGCCGGTTTGATTACCAACTATTATATTAGAGGTTCCTACAGGTTATGTAGTAAGCTCCTAAATGCAAAAGATACACTATTTGAGTACATGGTCAGAATCATGGACTGTGGTCTATTTTATCCCTTAGGCATTACAATTGAAATTACTATACAAATATCAAGCTTTTCCTTAGGATTCTCAGTGGTCCTAGATTAATAGTGGGTATATAGAAAGATGGCTTCTCATCTCTAACCCCCTGTATATGTCAGTGTGTTCCAGCTAGTCATTAAGAAATGGACTAAATCAAAATTTCTTGGCCCTGTTGAGATTTGGATCCAGATGTTGGGGGCTGATCTTTGCATTGTAGGATGTTTGCAAGGCTCCTTGCTCTATGCCCACTAGATGCCAATAGTATCCACTTATAAATGTGAGAGCAAAACATGTCTCAAAAAAAAAAAAGATGAACAAATGTGTCCTGAGGAGCAAAATGGCCCAGGCTTGAGAATTGCTGGACTAGATTAGTCTATGTGTATCTGAAGCAATGCAGAATTATAGTGTTACTGGAGTAATAACAACAACTTGTTTTTTTGAGACTCAGTCTCCCTATGTTGCCCAGGCTGGCCTCAAATTCCTGAGCTAAAGTGACCATCTGCCTCAGCCTCCCAAGTAGCACTACCAAACCGGGCAGCAACTCTTTTTTTCAAGAGCATATATTTATAGTCATTTTCCATTTTTCCACTGTACTAGAGAACATAGTGTTTGCATCGCGTTTATCCATTTTTGGAATATAGTTTTTCTCAGCTTTGGTGCCATGTGTTGATCAGAGTTAAGAACTCTGCTTTGTGTCACACCTACTGAGAGTTCGACTGTGAACAGTGTTGGTACCCTTTTGGTTGTCACTTTATTTTTAGACGGAGAGAATCTGAACAAGATTTCGGTTTTAAAACTCATTTTCACCTAGAAGTTTTTATTTTATTTTATTTTTTTTTTTTTGTACTGGGAATTGAACCTAAGGGTGCTCTACTATTGAGACACAACCTCAGCCCTTTTGATTTTTCATTTAGAGACAGGATCTGTGCCTTAGGGCCTTCCTAAATTGCTGACACTGGCCTAAAAACTTGCCATCCTCCTGCCTCAGCCTCCCAAATAGCTGGGATTACAGGCATGTGCCACCACCGCCCCAACTTCTCCTAGAATCATTTATAGGAACATTTATAGAAATCATGTGTGAAATATATTTCCTTATGAGACCTTTCCCAGGTAGAACTCTTTGATTCCATCACTGTCAATAAATCAGGTTGAGACACTGATTTATTTCCCCTACTCTGTGTTCTACATGAGAGTAATAGGGGATGAATGTATTCTGGCCAATTCTTTGCAACCAGGATTCCAGACCTGGATCAAGATTTGTTTGTGCTTTCTGCGGCACCTTGACTATTTTATGATCTAAATTGGGTCGACACCAAGTTTTGGGCAAACATGAAGGAAATGTTTTCAGATGTTTCTGTCAAGACTAGTATTTTTCAACCATGTTCATTTATAAGCTCTTTAATTTGCTCTGGTACATTTGAGGAGGACAGGAAAGTTTTGTCCCTATCTACAGATGCAAACCAGCAATTTACAGGGTGGAGAGGAAAAGAGCAATGCTCTGGAGAAATTGCTGGAAGGGAAAAGAGAGAAAGGCTGCTCCCAGGGTACTTTCTTTGTCTGTTCTTGAAATCCTATCCATTGTTGAAGTCTCAATCTTAGAGAATTCTTCCCTTGACTTTTGTTTGGCCCTCTTTCTTTCTAAATTCTTAATAAAGTTGGTTTCTACAAATCCAACCTGCTTTACATTCTGGGTGTTGTTTAAGAAGTTGTAAGTTCTTTGACATGAAGGACTGAGTTTGATTCATTTTTAGGCTCTTCACAATGTCTGTCCTGTTCTTTGCCACGCACAGATTCTGGGTTCATGTGTGTTGAACCTAGGCCTCGCCCTGAGAATTCTGCAAATGGCATGCAGTCCATGAGATGACTAGTTGCTCTCTTTTCCACAACTTTAAGTAACTTCTTTTCTTTCCTGAGGGACCCAGATACGGCCATGGCCTAGCAACGTAACTGAAAGACCAGGCAGGCTTTTGTTTCTGAGTTGTAATTGACAGTTCTTCTCCCTAGCTTACGGTTTCCCTTSTACCTGCCTTACTTGATAGAAAGTGGCGCCTGCACTATTACTTTCAGGAGCTTCAGTGCCATAGTCCTTTCTTGTAGCTGGTGATGTGGAGGCTTGGAATGCCACATCACTTGCTCAAGATCACACAGCTGGACAGCAGTGGAAGAGGGCCTGGTGACCTTCCTGCAGTCTCTTCTCCCTGTCTTCRCTGTTGTTCAGTTGGACTTTTAGGACCGACTGGAGAGGAGGGTTAGGGCTTCAGTAACTGAGAGAAGCAAAAGGAATGTTTTGCTAAAAGGGAAAGCAACCTAATTTGTAGGTTTATGTAGATACAGGGGAAAGGAATAGGTTAGCACAGCCTGTAGGAAATCAAAGGGCCCTGGGCCAAGAGACAGACTATGCCCTTGGGCCAAATCGAGGAGGTCAAAGCCAGCAATCTGTATTTATTTATTTATTTATTTTTAAACCCTTTTTATATTGAACTCAGGACTGAACTCAGAGTTTCTTTACCTCTGAGCTACATCAGCAGCCCATTTTATTTTATTTATTAATTTTTTTTTTTTTAAAATTTTGAGACAGGGTCTTGCTAAGTTGCCAAGGCTGTCCTTGAACTTGCAGTTCTCTTGCCTGGGCCTCTGGAGTCTCTGGAATTACAGGCATACATCATAGTGCCTAGCAGCTACCCATTTTTATATGGCCTGTGGGTTAACAGTGATTTTTATATTTTAAAAATACTTGGGAAGTATCAAAAGAAAATTATATGAAATTATAAAGACATGTGGAATTAACGTCTTACTGAGGCATAGTCACCCCCAGGGGCTCGCCTGCTGTGTGGCTGCTTGAGTGCATGTGGGAGGAGTCCTGTGTGTGGCCTGAGAAGTCCACTGAGTCCGCACACTTGCTGCCTTCTCCCTATGCAGGAGGCTGTGCTGACCTTGCCTTAGGAGGTGATGGTCCCTTTTATGCTGTGGCTAATGCAGATCTGCTCTGTTGGAAAGAGCTGGGCTTTGGACAGTAGCAGCTGGCTCTGGGCATGTCCAAGGCCTGTTTTTCATTTTAGACTTTGCCAGTGATTCCTTTGGTGTTCTGA